AACTTGTTATATGACAAAATATTATATTATTCTCATGTTATTCTTTGTAAAGGACGCAGATTATATTAAAAATATGTATTAGTGTTGTAACAATTGCTTTCTTTCCTACTAACGACTATACATACATACATTACACAGATATACACAGATATATATATATATATATATATATATATATATATATATATATATATATGAAGTAATATAGTTTTAATATGCGGTATATTTATGGGATAAAGTGCTCAATATCAGAGATAGAGCGTATGTAAATGAAAAAGTGAACATAGAAGTCAACACTTAGAGGCGACACTCTGTTTCATGCTAGGTGCAAACGTCGGGCCATGAGTCTCGTGGCCTGACGATAGCATGAAAACAGACTGTCATTTTATATATATATATATATATATATATATATATATATATATATATATTATGTGTGTGTTTGCGTGTGTGTCTATGTTTTTGAGAAGATATATATATATATATATATATATATATATATATATATATATATATATATATATATATATATATATATGTATGTATGTATGTGTGGGTGCTATACGACCTTTGGCTATAATGTAAAGGCCTGTGTAATTTAAAACGCATTAGGTAGATTTCCTTATATGATTTAACTATATGCTATAAGGTGTCTTGATGCCCAGAATAAAGATTTGTGGCTAAAATCTTTTTTTCATCCTACTCTTATTTCTCTCTAAAAATAGACTTCTTGGAGCCGACATAGACTTTCTGTTTTTGGAGGCAAAATTATTGTAAACATTCACAATTGTTTAGTAAATGCTGTTTGCAATGCTGCAGTTCGGCTAACAATTTAGTGTTAATGTTAAAATCCGTGAAATTGATGTTGACGAGTTTTGCAGAAGAGATTCGTACTGCTAACGTTTACGAGGCAACTGTTTTTCTTGCGAGATAATTCTAGAGCACTGTTTAGTCAATTTTCATTCTTTTGGTGATCAAACTGCAGTGACCACTGCAGGACGATGCTATATGGAGGACGTAAACTGCAGAGAACTCATGCACCCTCTCGGCCGTACCTCATCACCTACGTAACCACTATTCATTATTCCTACATGAGCATATTTTCAGATCCTAGAGAAAAGTTTCTTCGGGCTTGACAAAATATAAAATGGCAATTCTAGTCCCCACAGCTGACAAGGCACATAATCAAGTGCAAAGATGGACATCCATCCGAACTGACATGGCGCCCACAGATTTTCATATGCTTGGTTCATTATATATATATATATATATCAAACGAAAAACACTTTTCTTAACCGACGTGTTGCGTCGTCTCAGGGACATTATCAAGGCAAATTTGTCTTGATAATGTCCCTCAGAGGATGAAACGCGTTGGCTAAGATAAGTATTCCTTTTGTCTTTATTAATACTGTCCTTTTACAAATACACTCTATCTGAAGTTTTCACACGTACACACACACACACACACACACATATGTGTGTGTATGTGTATTTGCGACATGATAAATATGTATTCTACGCTGTCCCTCTCTTACGCTTAAATATTCATCTGTGCGTGCATACACACGCATATATATATATATATATATATATATATATATATATATATATATATATATATATATATATATATATATACTTGCTTATGTGTATTCTTGTGTCCTCCTAAATATATTCATATGTTTCAGTATTTTCCAATATTTACAGGAAATTACTCAATCTCTCGACAATACCATATGTGCCAAAACTTTCATTTTCTTTTCCAATCTATCTCGGGATGAATGGAGTAAGTGTATATTAAGGAATAACCAATCGTTTCCATTCTTCCTGTGTACAGAATATTTTTCCCATTTTCCATATGTCTTCGTCCAGTGTTTTGCTTTTATTTGCGTGTTTTATTTTGGGAAAATGATTCCAGTTTTTAGTTTATTTTACAGCTGCGAAGGAATTTTTCGTATGTTCAAGTAATAAGATCCTTCCGAATGTTCGGTTCTTTGACATATTTGCAATCTACTGAGACTTATATTTTCTTCTTCTCACCATTAATCGGAACACCTGCATAATAAGTTTGTAAAGTTAAACAAAAATTTCGTCACTTTTGTTGTGTTTAGCGTCTTACCCAGAACGATAACTCTAAAAGATTAGTTATAATTTCCAATCGCCGCTGCCGACGTAAAATAAGAATTTGATATTTATAATAAGTAGTAAAAGAAATACAATAGAAATACGAAATTAAAATCATCTAAGTTGACAGTATTTGCTCCAAGACCGAATATTAAGCAACTTACATCTAAGATCGGTTACTTTAGCCGTTATTATCATCAAGAATGACTTAACAGCAAAGAGAAAATTAGGAACACTGAAATTCTGGAGATAAGATGTAACATCATGAAGGATATGACTAAAGAAAACCAAGTTTTAGTTCAGGTGTTTCTTTTTTTCCATTAGGACTGACAAAAGTTTTCGCGACCAAACTAACATTGTTTTATTATATTCTGCCATATTTTTTTTTGTACGGTCTGCCACGAATTCTGGTAAAAATCCCTTCGACATACCTAGATAATTAGGGTTAAATCATGATTTTGGATGATTGTCGACAATTGTGTTTTTCTCTTTTTAAGATTTATAGTTTTTCTCATACAAATGTCATTTTCCACTTTTGTTGTTTTTAAGGTTATAAATTCGGTATTTCAGAAAATAATATCCGATTTTACAATCAAATTTTATTTCTGAATTAATGTATTTAAACAGTGTTTAAATCAGTCAAAATAGGAAAATTGAACAGTTAAAAATTTCTGCCTTCGAGTTACAATTTCATTTATGCATTTACCTTTTGGACATCAAGAAATATTTGAATGCAATTATGCATCTTCTTTGTAAAAAATGTCTTTTGTATTCAAAATTTTTCAAGATGATTGAAAAAGTTGTAGTCCGTTGGCGAAAAATCAGCGAATTTCGTTGGATGTGGTAGAGTCTTGTATCCCATGTTATTGAGCTGAAGCATTATCATCTTGGCAATATGTGGCGGAGCATTGTCAGTAAGCAGTATTGAACGTAATTGATTAAACATTTTAATTTACAATGTGCAATACACCCAGTTCCTAGCAGTAAACTTGGGCCGTGATGTTCGAGTTAGATTCCCGAAAACTGTAAACGATAAAGCTAATGGCTGCACAAACAGACGGTCACAATAGACTTCTGTTTGTGTAAACTTTGTTTTCGGGACGTGTTTGGATATTCGTGAAGATGAAACCGTTGACCCGATCATTTACGATTGTCATAAAGGATCCATGTCTGAGGGCAAGTTATTATTCGATCAAGAAATAGACCATTCGCCGAATTTTGCAGATGCATCATCAAATGCATATCAAAACGTCGAACTAATTGACTTTCACCGAGTTTATGTAAAACCCATTTATCGCGTTGCTTCACCTTGCCACTTTTCTTGAGATGATCCGATATCGTTGAAATGTTGACACACATTATCTGAGACATTTCTATGACACTTTGACATGAGTTTTTTCAGATGTATCTATCACCTGAATCTTTATGACTCGAGTTCCCACTGAGGAATGCCAGAAACCAGCGCCCTATTGTACAATCATAAGGGGACCATTCGGGCCATGCTCTATTAATGTTGCTACCAGAATGAGAAGCATTATAACCAAGCTTCAACTCATGCAAAAACATCAACGCATCTTTTCTTTTTTTCATGTTTAAGACGAGGAGTATGTTATGTTTTAAGTTAAATTCTGGAAGTCTATTGATATAATAGTAAGAAAGAGAACATTTTAATCATTAGGAATTATTAGTATATTTTTGTGTAACTATTATAATAAAATATGAGATCACAATTAAAATATTTATTCTAAAATCGGTCATTATTTTTCAAACAATCTAATATTTTTCTTTGCTAATAGGAATTTTCTAAAACTTAATTTTATTCACTGAACAGTAGTTTGTTATCAATTCCCTTATGCCTAAGTTTTTTTTTAATCAAGGATTTTTTATGGTATGTATATGTGATAAACCTTTACATTTAAATGGAAGCATTTTTCGATTTTCACTTTATTAAGTATATTTTTTTATACCATATTTTTCTTATTTTTCCACTCCTTCAGTTGAACATTTTTTTATTTTCTTTAGTTTCATTTATTCATCTCTTCCTTCATTACATTCACTTATTCGCTTTCTTTCCTTCATTTCATCTTTGCCATTCGCTTCTTTCATATTCACATTACATCCCTTCTTTCTTTTTTTCTTTTTTTCTTTTTACTTTCTTTGTTCGTGAACTTTCTTTCTTTCTTTCATTGGTCATTTTTGTCTTTTTCCCACTGTTTTATTTCTTTATTTTTCTTTCTTTCTTTCTTATTTTTTCTTTCTTTCTTGGCCATTTTCATTTTTATTATTTTTTTTCTGCTTGACAGATCTTGTGATGGATGCACTTTATGCCTTGGTCAGAGAAACATCCTTCACACACACACACACACACACACACACAGACTCATTGATAATATTTAGTAGGCAAAGTTAATAATCATGCGTAAAGTAGCTTTGAGTCGAAACAAGACATAGCAAAAGAACAAAAAGAAAATGAAAAAGTCAAAAATAGGCAAACAAACACGTTTACGGAAATCTCAAAAGTGTCCTAACCATGAACAGCTGTAAGAAACTTTGGCTGGAGACAGACGAGCCACCCCGCTATTTTACCCCTACGCCTGTTCCCAAGCCACAAAAAGTTGTGGCGATAAATGTGATCAGATGAGGGCGAAATTAAGGTGGGCATTCGGCCGAAGTGGTTTACACTTTATTTTTCTTTATTTTTGGGTAAAATTGTAATTTTCCCATGAACTGCTGTTGTGTTTTTGAAACAAAATGGCGTTGGATGATGTCGGATGGGAGTCGGGACACACGTGGATATTAATATAAAAGAACAGTTTAATCAAAAAGGTCAATGGATCAATCTTCGACCAAACGGACGGGACCTTTAGTAACAGAACTGGACGAAAGAGAAAGAGAGAGAAAGAGAGAAAGAGAGAGAGAGAGAGGGAGAAAGAGAGAGAGATATGTCAGAGTTGGATTGCGTATTAATAAGATCGACTTGTGAAGCATCTAAGCGTGTGTCAGAAGCAGAAAGTCGTTGCTCACGTGTTGGAGGCGTGCACGAGTCAAAGAACCTTTTTTTTCGCATCTCCGAGATCACGCTCGCACATAAACATATATACACCTATATGCACACATTTGCATACAAAAGTGTTTCCTAACATTCATATATATAGAAATATGCATGGATACATACATACATATACACAGACACAGACACAGACACATATATATATATATATATATATATATATATATATATATATATATATATATATATATATATAAATATGTATGTATGAATGCACAGACACATACACACAATGGTAGGCAGACACATATAAAAGTACATGTACACACATTAACCCGATTGTATCTGATGTGTCTCTGATCTACAAATGTTGTCACCTTCCTGTGACCCTGTAGATAACTCTCCTTATCAGAATAGAGGAGAAGGGGTTGAAATGTATTATAGAAAGATTGTATAGCCCCAAATTTATAAATAAACTTGAATTTGTCAGCTAAAATGATCTTAACTGTAATCAAATATAAACTCTGCGAACTATACAACAAAGCAGCTTCCAAATTATATATATATATATATATATATATATATATATATATATATATATATATATATATACACGAACACACACACATATGTACTTCAAACCTTATCTTTCGTGCATAATCAAATTTGTGCAGAGGCTCCGTTTTTGTGGGTTTTTTTTAAACAGTGTTTATTTCGTCTACTGGGGGGTGCATTCAAACATTCTTAATAAACAAAATGTGACATCCGAATCTTTTGGTCCCTTTGCAGGAGAAATCACCGTTTAATACGATGCGGGATTTGACTGTTAGGCTACGGGGTGCTTTCAGGAAGAAAAGATACAAAAGAATCCACTTAGTACTCAAATGTACTGTCGGTACGTTGATAACACCTTTTGTTTATTTAACGGTGAAGTTGAGGCTGACCAGTTTCTTTCGTTTTTAAATAGTATCCATCCGGCACTGAGATTCACTATTGAAAAAGAGTCCAATCATCAATTGGCCTTTTTGGATGTATTAGTACATCGCACATTAACAGGTTTTCTCCCTTCCGTTTATAGAAAACCTAATTTCGCTGGGTTGTACACGCGTTGGGACTCTTTTTGTCCCACTAAGCGCAAGATTAACATTATTAAAACCCTCCTACATAGAACATTAAAGATCTGCTCTGAGCCTTTCTTGAACGACGAAATCGACTTTATTAAGGATACCCTATGTAATTTGGGTTATTCTCTTGATACTGTTAATTCAGTTATCCGTAGTAAAGTTGAAGAGTTCAGAAGTGCCGAGCTCTACACTGTCAAAAAATGCCCAGTTTACCTCAGATTACCCTTGATTTGTACCAAATGTGAAAAAATAGCTAAACAAATTTCATCCAATGTTCGTTGTTGTTTTTTCTCTGCCGAAGTTCGGATTATTTTTCAAACTCGGCCTATGTTTCGATCTGCGTGTAAACACGTTCTCCCTCCCCATCAAATTAATTCAATTATTTATAAATACGTTTGTAATTGCTGAGCCGACTACATAGGGAGAACAACTCAACGCTGAGACATGAGAATAAAACAACACGTTCCTACAAAAATTAGAAATCACACCTTGCCTTTGAATGTACTCGTCCCGAACACCAATAGTTCCGCCATATGCGAACACCTATTCAAGAAAAGAGATTGTGCAGCCAAATCTAGTGTTGACTGGTTCACCGTGTTGTCCCGGTCTCACTCTTTATTTCATCTAAAGGTTCTGGAGGCGCTTTACATCGGGTCTCGCAAGCCTTCTTTGTGCAAACAACGTGAGTGTTTGTTGGGACTCGCTGTCATTTGCCTCTAGTTTCTTTTGCATTTTTTTTTTTTTTGACAATTGCTTTTATTGTACATTTTCCTGTGTCAATTTTAAATTTCCCGTTGAAGCCTGAAGAGCGGAAGCGAAACCGGTTGCTTCACCCATTTTTTTTTAAATATGTTTCGTAATATTAAAATTTATACTTTTTTTTATTTCGATATATATATATATACATATATATATATATATATATATATATATATATATATATATATATATATATATATATATATATATATATATATATATATATAGAATAGATGCAGAATAGATAACTGGGTTAATAAATAAAGGCAAACGAAAGGGTACCGATGTGATCAGCACGAAAACATTTATTAATATTAACCACATGAGAGAAATGAAGCACGGAGATTAATGTTCCAAGTTCGAAATTTTCGGCCATGCCTGTGTCCTTCATCAGCGCATGCGAGAAACGGAAGAGACCCACCAAACGTAGTTTATGAGGCTCGGGGGGAATCCTGTTTTTCGATGGAATTATTAGTAAAATCCGATCTCTGTTTGATTTCTCGCTGTGCGAAACTTTTTCTGAAAATAACCTTCTATTTAAAAATTGGCAATGATGGTTGGTGGAATTGGGAGTGAGATATTGAACATAGTGGAAAAAGGGTATAGGTCCTGGGGTGGGGAAGATGAAGTGCGTATATTTTGGCAGCATGTTTCCCTTAAGACATGTTTTATTGGATTATTTAGACAAGTTTGTGCATTTATTTTCAATTGTATCGATTCATATTCACGGACAAGATTTTTAGCGTTATTATTAAAAGGAGACAGCAATTTTCTGTCTTCCTTTATTAATGACACCAAAAAGCTTAGCCGTGAAGATGAATCGATAGAATTGAAAACAAGTGTACAAAACTTGTATAAATTATTCAATTAAACATGTTTCTCTCTCTCTCTCTCTCTCTCTCTCTCTCTCTCTCTCTATATATATATATATATATATATATATATATATATATATATATATAGATGTGTAGGTTTTCTATGTGTGTGTATATATGTGTATGTGTATGTTTATGTGTATATAGATATATGTGTATATATATGTGTATGTGTATATATATATGTATATATCTATATCTATCTGTCTATATATATATAAACATGTGTGTGTATATGTATGTATATTTATGAATCTATGTATGAATCTCTATGACTGAACGTGTATGCATATATGTGTGCATTCATTTATATATATTTTTATATGTTTGTACCAGTGTATGTTTTCATGTGTACTCATGCGTAAATGAGTATATATGAGGTATTTTTATATATTTATGTGTCAATATGTTTTCTATATATAAGCTGGTTTTATTTTTCATGTTGTCTTTTTTCTTTGTTTTGTTCATTGCCGAATATTTGTTTTCCTATTCTACTACTCTTAACTTTTATCCATCACACCCTCTTTTTATCCCGTCCTGGGTTTGACGATAAACTACGTCCAACAGCAAGGCCCCTTATCAGAAGGCTTTGAGGAGCGTCGAACCACCTCTTAATTTCTGGCATTCGACAGGTCCACCCTGACCCGGTTTGGTAGCACATATTAGGGACCCAGCCATTGGCAAATACTTAACTCCGAAAGTGGCGTAAAAAGCATTATAAAAGTGTAAAAATGGGTTTTAATACCAGAGAAAAAGAATTGTTACCAGAAATAAATTTTTGAAGAAAAAAACTATTACCCGCAATATATTTTGGAAAGAAAATATTACAAGCAATACAAATGTTTTAAAATAATATTACCAGCTTTACATATATGCAGTTGATATGCCGTAAAACACAACAAACCAAACCTCTTTTTATTTATATATCTTTGTAAGCAATATTTTAATACTTAATTTACATTCGCTTTTTAATACTTTCACATTTTAAACTTTGTGGGTCTGTCTATGTATATGTCTACGTCGTTATTAATGTACGTGTGTACGATTGCGTATATATGCCTTTCATTGTATGTATATGTGTTTTGGGTGGTTGATATCTGTTTCCTGTTCCGTCTGTGTTTTTGCGTGTGTATATATCTAAATATGTGTTTGTATATTATAATATGATTGTGTATGTATTGTCATTAGCAAAATTTCTTCCCCTACGCATATCACCACTTCAAATGTCTTACAATATTTGTATCGCCTTAGATTAGCGTTTGCTCTAACTGAGATTTTGGCTTTGCGATTCAAACAAAATAAATAATAAAATATATATAATTTTCCTTTCTTCCTTCTTTAAATAATTTTACAATATTTTAAACTTAATACAGATTAAATTTAAAATTGGTAATTTTTATTTTCAGTTTTATAGTAAAATTTAATATTAATCAGAATGATTTCTATTTTTAGTCTAACACTAATATTAGGCATTAATAATTATAACCAAGTTTCGTTATCAAGGTTTTTCAATTTTCATATACTTGTATTTTGATTGGTCATTGCAGCTTATGTAACAGCGTTTCCCCTGTTGAGGGGTGTGTGATCGATTTGAACCTTTTAAAACTCATTATTCTACATTCAACACCATCACTTGATATGACACCAGAAGTGTTGGAAAAAAAAGGTTATTTTTGTAGTGATGTTATAACATGTTTATTTTATAATTTCTGAATAATATATATATATATATATATATATATATATATATATATATATATATATATATATATATATATATAGTCGACTCTCCCGTCGAATTCGACGTATGAGGGTGAAACAGATCAGTTCTAGGAAACTGATAGCCCGACAGCAGCACATGAGATTTGATTATAGTGGTGAAGGTTTCGCGCAAGACCAATCACATTTTTTGAAGGGCCGAATACAGAGACCTGGTGCACTAAGTGTCACAAGGTCCCCAAACGACCCTCCGCAGTTTTTGAATTCAGAGTTGTCTTTCTCTTAGACCATTTGCTATCCAAAGCTATAGAACCCAATCTATCCGGCTATTTACCCATAGCTGGAAGGAGAAGAAGAGGCTTCACACCTTTTTCAAAAGGTATAAGGGTATATATATATATATATATATATATATATATATATATATAACATCAATTATAAACCTATAAGCAAATGTTCTGACCCGAAATCAGAGAGATTCACAGCGCCATAACGTGTCCCAATCTCGTCTTTGTGGCTAAACTCGACGTGCCCATTATTTTCTGTCGTGTCTCCAAGTAGTTCCCTTCTTCGATTAAAC